TAACATTTATTTTCACTCCTTGAGTTCCAGGTAGAACATGGAATTTCAGACTTTTCAAATTTCAGGAGCATTGGTGTTGTTTTATCCAATCTCCTATCAGCTAGGCGAGGTTTATGGTTACGTGTACCAGGAATCGAACCCAGAACTGTCATGTGATCAGTGAGTATTCTATTTTTTTTTTTAAATAGTAAGAAACGGTAAAATTTCGCTTTATGCTTTTATTTTGCATTACTTATTATCGAAAATCATTCGCTTTTTAGTTGAATTATGACAAAGTGAGTTCATTATTATATCAAACAACACAATGCAGTGTATCGTAGATATCTTTCTCAGCAAACATAAGTTAAAGTTCACTTCTATGAACTCACTGCTTATCATTTGAATGAATGCTTCCTGAAATATACTCATATCCAGAAATCAACTTCAGTAAACAGTACATTGAGAACGAACTAAAATGTAAAGTTTCACAAGGTTTACTTTCCATTCTGATTTTTTCATTCACCATGTACTTATGTGAATGTAAAACCTACATCTTATTTACTTCAGGGTACACTGCGCGTCTGCACATACAAATATATACATATATACGTCAATATTATATATAAAAAACTAATCTGCAGCAAACATAAATGATTCATAATTAGATTCCTGCTCGAAATTCTTTGGTATAAAAAAAAAACTTTCTTGCTTATAATAGTTATTTTTGTGTGTTTAGGTAAGTTTCCCACTTTAATATCTCTACTGTAAAACCTCGAAACACTTTTCGTAAATCACTGTTGAAAGTAATAATTAGTTTTTATAATAATTGTTCCAATAGCCACATCCTTTGCCTACTATAATGAAGGTAAGGTAACAACAACAGTAGAAATAAGCGAATACAATATACTGAACTCATTTTCCTGCCTCTTTTCTGACAGTTTTTGCCACTGTAAAAAAAATAACTTTTTTCTCACTCACTTTCCAGTGCAACTGTTTGCTTAGCTGGTTCTTATATATCTATATATGTACTCTGTTATAAGGTTGGTTGGTTGGAACGTGATGAAAGGAACAGTTATTGTCTCGACTTCGGTTCTTGTTTTAGGTCTTTGGACATTTTCTTTTTTCCATTTACATGTACATTTGTGCGTACATACTTATAAATATATATATATATTTGTATATGAGTTGTTCTTATGTTTAATTCCTTTTCAACCAGCTAGTAGGATATAAAACGACGCGGTGATTTGTCTGTAAAATGTATTGGTAAACGATGTTCCACATAGTATTGATGTTGCTCGAAATTTCTTTTTAGATATTCATATTTCTAAAGTGTGTGAGCTTAGGATATTAATCCAGTGAGTCACAGAGGAGAAAAATAAAAACTAAACTGTTAATTTCTGTAGATATCAAATATTTTTATTTATTGTACACTAGGCGTCACTCCGAAAACTAAGCAGTCTTTATAAACAAAGGTTTCAAAAGTACCAACAAAGCTTTTACTACTAAAAGTGGAAATCCACAAGCTTAAAATTCAGCTATTGCAATATATGCAGCAAAACTATGTCGAGATAAAGAAATAGTTCTGCTATTTTATGCCTTTCGATTTTCATTTGCGATAATGGTTTTTATATTTCCCGTGTTGATCTCGCGTCATATCTGATGCCAGTAACTAGACTCCATTTAATAAATTTAATAAAGACTCAGTGATCATCTCTTCACTCTATTTCATTATATTATCTTTTAGAACTATGTAAATGAAATCTAAAATTATGATATGATTATGAACAATGAAGTGTGCTCATAAGGTCATCAGTGAATAAATAATACTGCGTCGCTGTCTGCAATATAAAATAAAACTATTCTATTACATCCCTTGTTGTTTGATCAATTCGACCTCTTTTTCATATTAACAAAAGGCATACTGGCATCAGCCTTACTTCATTGTGTTAAAATGTATTTTGTCATTTTCTAATTTACTAGTTAGAAGTTTGAAAGGAAATTTACGTATTGTTGACAAAAAATGACTTTGTCTGTGCTTAAGATTAAAATATAAGTCGTAGGTCAGACCATTAGATCGAGGATAGCCAAATAATCAGAACATAAGAATTTAGCTAAGTTTAGAATGATTGACCTGCAAAAATAAGTAATTTAGAAGAACACTAAGCATTTGCGCTGCTTTCATTAACACACAACCGTACAAAAGGTTGAGACAGAGTAATAGTTGTGGAAAGTAATTCAACTAGGTGGAGGAAGGAGCTGATTGCTGGATCTTTATACATCGAATCTACACCTAATACGTGCAACCAGAACTACACAACACAAATACCAGAAATAAAGAAAACGTTGCTACCATTAATAAAAATAATAGAATTATATAAACGAAGTTGGAAAGTTATGTGAGTACCTTGAAATGACTATGAGCAATAACTTGTGCTGGAAACACTGTCAGTGAATGATACAGTATCATTGTGTGATTTTATTAAATAAATTTACCCTGTTATGGAATCATACTCTACCACAGTGCCTAAGTTTATCAGACTCTTTTATCTAACAAACAGCAAGTTTAATTTATCGTCTCACTGTTAACGTTTTTAGTTGACACTCTTGTACTCTATAATAAATAGGTTTTAAACATTCATTTTCTTTCTATTCATCATTTCAGCTTAATAATCCATACTTATAAGAATATTTTTCAGAATTTAGCTGTATTAAATATATGATAAACTAGTTGAATTAGTTCTTAAAAATTTATTAAGATGTGAATATGATAACATATCACCTCACGTCTACATCAAGTTTTTAATTAAAATTTTTCCAGTTACAAGCAAAAAATGTGACTACAACGAAAGAACACTGATAGGTATTTGTATTCTTTCGTTCCTTTTCAGTTTCATATTTACCATTCTCACCTAAGCCAATTCTGCTGATTATGGATAACATAAATTTCACAGACGAGATTTAAATTTTGTAGAAATTAAACGATCAGACTAATAACATATAGAATGAATTTGTGTGTGTCATATTAAAAATTACTAATGATCATTTTATTGTCAAAATCTCATTTACGGTGAAAAAGATAAACATCTTGAAATTCACTTTGTTCACCCTGTAAGCAATGATTGTAGGAATTTAACAAGCTTTGTTTGTTTCATTAAATATGCTCTCAGAATAGGACTTTAGTACTCAATACATTGAAATTAAAGAATTTTGAGAGTGAAATAAAAGCTTGCATTGGAGAATGTTTTAAACTAGAGGCCGGTTCCAGAGACCAGGCTGCGAAATCTATTTTTGATCTAGTTTCCCATTCTTTTATTGAAGGTCTTAAGCCTTGATCAGTTGCTTGTTATCGAAGCCCAGTCTTCAGAAAACAGGAATTCCAACACAAAGGGTATAGGTTAAAAAATTAACTTGACAAAAATTCCCACTATTTTTACCAACGTCGCACTACTGCATGTGAATTAATTTACTATTTAAAAAACGCCATTTCTGAACCTCTTCATTTAGGTTTTTTCATATCGCGTATTAAACAACCCAGAAATTAAATATTTGTTTTATTAGGAATCTATCTAGAGCAGCATACAAAAAGCACTTTAATTATCGAGGTAATTTTTAGTTATATGTTCACTTTCAACTAATATGACTAACAGGTATGATAAAGAATTTTAATTCAAGAAATCTGGTGAAACATATAAACAACTTTCACAGTAATACTAGAAGAAATTTAAAAAGGCTTTCTATGATGAATCACGAAAAAAACTGAAACAGGAATAAACGAGACTACTTTTAATTAAAACAAGGTAAGTAGTAATGTTAATATCTGCGCTAGTAGTACATATACCTGGTTAATAGAGGATAAATATGTAAAGAAGAAATCAGTTCTCCTAGCCCTTTGAGCCCAACAGTCTGCAACAAATGTTTGGAAGGATAATGTTTTCTCCATAAAGGATAAGTTTGTCTGATTTACCTGTGTGTTATACCATCTAACATAGTAATATATCCCACTACTGACAGCATTTTAGTCCCATATTATTAACATATTTAGTTTGATGAGTTTATGATACCTTCATTTCCATGTGCTCTGCTTTCGATATCTTCAGTACACTTAAACAATGCCGAAGGAAATTTGAAAGATGGCAGAAATGTTGAGAGAAGTAAACTGAACTGTTGATACTGAATCGTGCATCTCAAAGATGTAGTCATATGTTGTGTAAAGTGTTGGTCAACTTTCTAGAATGATTTCCTTTATGCTTAACGCTGATGCGACTTACTTTGGCTTAAATATAGTTTTGGATTTTATTGAAAATGAATCGTAGAAAAGAAAATTTTCTTCTCTGTTTGTGCCTTTTTCTTATTGAAAGTAATTGTCACTGACTTGTATTTCAGGTTATCAGTGTACTACAGGCATTTGATGAAAAAACGCTTGTCAGTCTAGTTGCTTATTACTTCTGAGAGTTCTAGACATGTTGCTATCGATAAACGTTTAGGTTACTTGTGAGTTCATAAATGCTAAATAGCTTAAACCTAAATCTTTATGCGAAGCACATCTACTTCTACTATAACAAAAACACTATTTGCTTACTAGTCACTTGGTTGATCTAGGAATGCAAAGAATTAAGTTAAATACATCCAGATGAGGTCTCCTTAGCTGATTGCGAACCGGTATACTATCAATAACCTCGTCAACAAACCAGTAAAATTGCTATCTGGTGTTTAGATCACTCCGGTCTAGCTAGAGAGCGTTGTTGGTTGAAGTGAATAGTTTTTAAGTAGTCACATCAATCAGTGGTATATATCTTCTCGCTAGTGGTCATTTTTACGGTAATGTGAATTCCTTATTTACAATTAAATATCTGTCCATTTCATTGCTTCTTAAAAGAAATCTGAATTAAGTGTTCGTGTTCTAACTACTAGTTCAATAATCAACACATACTCTACAGTGTTGGAAAAAGTGAAATATATTAGAATCTATCTACGATTTACCGATAAAAAAATATGAAATTACAGTAAATTAAAACACTTACGTAATTCAGCCATACGCTTGTGGTAAGCACTTGATTTTTCTCGTCCAAATCCAGTATTTGTATTAATGAGAGAGACATTTCTACGATTACCTTTTCAGATGTGTGCTTAACTGGACGACCAGTAATCCCTGCTGCCTCATAGTTTTTCAGGAGACGTTTAATTAACCGCTTTTCATCGGACAATGTGTATACTTCTGAAAATTAACGAAAGATATTGTTAAGAAGAAGTAAGGTGGTTTGTGGTGAAACATTTAAAATAAAAATACATTAAACGAAGCATGATGATAGACACTAAACTTTTTATTTAATGTGATAAAGATAATCTAGGGCTTAACACTTCAGTTATACATATCTGAAATGCTGTCTCTTGAGAAAATACCAACTCACAGGTGATGTTCAGTGGTGGAAGCCTCTTATATGGCTGATGAACCAAAGTCTCGAAATAGAAACTAAAGTCTTAAAAATAAATCTCATGAATGAGTCTAAAAATCAAATGAAATTAAACTTCTGTCAAGAAATACCGGGTATTGTGTAATTGGGTATCTATGATGCAATAATTCTCTATATTTTAAATTTCCACTAGACTGCGACACAGAGTGACTTCTAACTTTATAAAAGAAGTCATAAGTCTAATCGTTTTCAGTTTGTTAAAAGTAAAGTGATTTTTTTATTGGACAGTCGGCAGGATCGCCTCCAACCATCTATTACCAACAGTTCACGGTGCACCGCGGTGGCGAACTACCGACCATGGTGGCCACATTACAAACTTGACTGATAGAATTCAGTCTGCACCAAAGATAGGACTAGACACACAAATTACACTGGTTACTGACTAGTGTACAATCAAAAATATCTAAGACAGTCCTAAAGGAGGTCAATCAAGAGCCCGAATAGCTCAGTGGTAACGTCTCTGACTGCAGTACTCACTGAGGGATGGGGGTTCCAATGTCAGAAGGGACACGAGTTCCTTTGAGGTGGCAGATATGCCTTGCTGATGAGTGCCAACTAGCACGAAACCTAGGTCCAAGGCTTGCTGACGATTGCCTCCAACCATCTAATACCAGTAAAGTGATATTGTGATATCTTGCTCATATCTTGAACAGATCAAGGGCAAGCGCTATTACATTTAGAAAGGCATTTTGTAGAGTAAGTACAAATAGCAAGACACTATGGTTTAGTGTATACAGACTTAAGGGCCTTCATTTATTCAAATTCCTTATTTAGTTTTTATTTTACTTTTTTAATAATAAGAAGAATATCATATTATAATTTTTAGGTCAAGTGTGTCAAACGGATTTCAGCTTTATGGAGGAATACATGAGCTATGTTATTTTCACATTATTTATTGATTTCAGTGACTAATTGAAATCATTGCCACATCCTTTATACATCTCTTCTCCTACAAGCGTATACCTACTACGGAACTCTTTCAGTAAGACAATTTTTTGTTTTATTGTTATTATCATAAAATATGACGAAAAACACCCCAGAGGCTCTTAATCGTATTTACCCTATAATTAAAATTACTCAAAACAAAGAACTAGTTTTTGTGCTAAACATGTTCTCAGAAATATAAATACATCGAAAACATTTTTATCAGTTGCTTTGTTTAGTCAGTCAATTCTCCTGCACACGCACAATAATAAGACAGCTTTGAACATCTTGCTAACAACTCTAAAAGACAACATTGTTTTCACAACGGAAAACAGAATTAGAAAGACTTCGATCGAATTTTAATTCTTTACCTGTTAGATTTTATCTTTGACACAATTTGCTGGCATTATAATTTTGAAGAAAAGAAAGAGTTTAATTGGTTCTGAAATCGATTAACTTTATTTACTAATTACACTTTGAGTCTGTTTTCTTTTTAACGAGATGATGAGCATTTCTGGTATACTCCATGAGTGACATATTTTCTAGATTACTGTTTATGATTAAGATTATAATTCGATTGTTCCCATTTTTTGCTTGCCATCATTCTGTCTTTCACGTTAGATTAAGTGATCTGATTCGTGGCAAGACATATTTTACTGATCAATGAGAATAAACACAAGTTACTCAAGTAGTTTGAACTGTTTAGTTGACTTTTGGTAATGGTGTTTACTCCAGTCCATTCTATAGCTTTAGAGAGCTTACGCTTCATCTCCACTTCAGCATTCAGTACTAGTATATTTGGGGGTGGTACACGCATGAGTAAATTTTATGCCTTCAAAACCTAACTTCCCATACCATGAGAAGACAAAATTTAGACTCAAATTTTTTTGGTTTTCTTTCGATTTGCATGTTTAGAAGAGATATATCCATATTCTAAATTACGTAGACATTGGGTAAGATGAAACTGACAGTGTTTTCAGTGGTACCTCTGAGCTTAAAAGACGTAAAAATTTTATTTAATCTATTTCAGAAAGCTTACTTCTTTCAATTATAGCTTCTAGTCAAGTAATATAAAGAAATTTAGAATCCAAGGTATTCTGTAGCAAAATTTTTCCAGACAATTCGTCATTTTGGAAGCATGTGTTATATCTCAGGAGTAAGTAATTGAACCCATATGTGGTAATATTCTTCTTTTAACTTGTCTGCGATTTCAAGTCGTAAAGATAACTTTCCATTATGGAAAAGATTTTATTTTCATAAATCACACCGTGTTGTACAGTGATATTAACTAATATTAGTTAATGTTATACGAGCTTGCCTTGTAACCGGAAGGTCCTGGGTTCAAATCCCAGTGGGTGCGTACTGCCGATCATTCCCAAACTAGGATGAAACAGCTGTCCAGTACTCCCTCGTTTTCAATGGTTCTCTAACTGATATCAATCCATGATCAACTCGTAAAAACAAAACTAATGCCTACAAACCAACTATAGAAAAATCTTATCCATAATCGAGTTATACTCTACGATAGTGCTCAAATTTCATGCTAATATCAAGATAACTTTCCGGTGGTTTAAATGTACACAATAGCATATAATGGACACATAATCATATATAATGTTTGGTTGTTAAATGATGTCTATCCCTTCAGCTTTTATTTGAAATACTCTGGCCTTGAACAGAATAAATTAAATTCGTACGTCTCTTAAATTGTATGTGAATGATAATTGTTATGGAAGTGGTGAAATGTCAACATCAACTGACTTCATTCTGTCACACCAAAGTATGACCAAAGTGTGACTTACATTGAATGAAGTGTAAGCAGTCGGTGACAGACAAGGAAGTTCAATTAAATTTATGCAATTCTATTTAAATAGACTTTTGGAAAATTTTTGAGAGGTACGAAATCCCGTAAGATGTACTGCGTACATTGCTAAACTTCATAGTTTCTTTGAAAATATTTGTACAAATAGCATTACCAGTGATAATGCCAGCTAAATTAAAAATCCCCCCTCTTTGAGCGAACAACTATTTTCGATAACTTCTTCCTTAGGCTCTACAGTTATAAATCAATGCCAGATAAGTAAAATGTTAGGAAGCTTTTTTTTGGAAAATAAATTTATTATATGAAAGTAATAGAGAACTCTGAAATTTACAGTTCTATCATCGCTCTAAAAATAACGAAACATATATGAAAACATTAAAAACAAATTTTATGGGAAAAGATATGGTTTAAATAGATAAGTTCGAACGTTCACTGGGAAAGTAAGCATCTAAATTATCACTGACAAACAACAGAAGTGAATCTAAGCCAGAAACCTCATTCCAAAGAAATAAACGTGTTTTTCATTTTTTGTCAATTTATTGCTTCAAATTACACCATAAAATTGAAGGCTAATAGCTTTCATAACTAATGTTGAGATAAACTATTGGTATGTTAACTTTCACTGGCTACCAAAACAAACTTGAAATATAAATCCTGAATCAATGCTGTTTGAAAACAGAGATTACCGATTGTCTTAAACCACAGAAATCAGGCCAAATACGGCTTTTTAATGCTAGAAATATTGAAAATACAGAGGGAATAACAGTGTTTCATTTTTTCTTAACCCTGATATTCGACTGTGATTGGCATCGCCTGCAATATGTCGGCCACGAGTTTCCGTTAACCAGGAGAACATGAAAACATATACCAGTGTTTCCTTATCTATGAAGCCAAAGTCAGTAAGTGACTCTACATGAAATCCGTTTACTAAAAGCATTAAACAACGAAAAGTGTAGTTATATTTAAGTTAAATTTCGGGACTCAAGGATCTATGAGATAGTTCGCTTTAGATTTTTTTATGAAAACTGGATCTTTTATTCGTGCTGCACCCGGTATTTATTATTAAAAAGGTTTATCTCCTTGAAGAAGTACCATATTGTTGTCATCATTATTCCCTTGTGTTCCAAGTGGAACATATGGCTTCGGCAGCACATCTCCACTTTGTCCAGTTCTCTGGAGTTCTCTAAAGATTGCCTCACAATTATCTTTAAGCTATCATCTCCTCCCCACACGATCTCTACCATTTCACCCTCAGACGCTTGACTCGTCGTTTCCGATTCGAGCTCCACTACAGCGATGACCTGGCAAACGCCCAACGTCATTCGATGGTATCGTCAGCGTGTGCCCAATTCATCTCCATCGCCCACTACATATTTAATAGACAGAAGACCAGTAGTTCAGCGAAGAGTCTTTTTTATGGCGAACTCATTTTCAAAGCTGTGCAATCACAAATACATATGGTTGTTTTGTATGTGTGTGTACATTAAATTTGTCAAACGAAAATACAATTAGTAAGTTCAGATGGACTGGATGTTAATATAAGAGGGTAGTAACAAAAGTGATGAGTTGTCACAAACGATTGTTAAAGAAGAGTTACGCAATAGTGTGAATAGTTTGATGAAATAGTTGTGCTCAGGGTGTACATGGAAACAAAATAACATACGGAATTACGCAAGGGTTTTAAGTAGTTAGAAAAATAAGCATACAAACAAGAGTTAAGTCAAATCAAGCAAAACAAACAAAAGTTAAGTCAAATCGACGGAGTTGTTACCATGATAGTAGAAGTGGTTGAATAGTTTTCTTTTGTATGCACATTTCTGGTTCCTCTAGCTTAATAGCTAGGGCTTCTGCGATGCAAAGAAGACAGAATCGTACTGTCTTTGGAAGGTTGTTCTTCACTTTGTAGATTACTTTGAAGGAGGCGTTTGTTGAGATGGAATGACCAGTGTTGACGAGATGCTCGATTATTGCATTCCCTATACGGCCATTACTTCCTTT